TCCAGTGGGTGGTTCTTAATGTATCCTAGATTATTTCAGCAAAGTTCCAGCTCGAATGAAAGAGTTTTAATTTTGGAGCGATTTTCGTCCAAGTGGCCCTTTATGTCAGATTAAGATTACTAGAAGCAGGTAAGAGGAAGATAGAAGGAATCGGATCTTTCCATAAAACCTCTGTATTCATAACCTGGGTTTTGCTAGTCTGACTATTGCTGGTTTCCAATCAATACAACGACATCAACATCTTACATGTATCTTCTTGGATTTTTGTTGCCATGCCTAAACCACCTGCTTCAGACACTCTCACCTTTGCATTCCTCAAGTGTATCAGCAAAGACATTGTAGAAACATTTTCAAACAGACATACCACATCCTAATCTAACAACACTATTATTTATATATTTTTACAAAGACAGAAACCTTCTTTCTATAATATAGCAACTATTGCTAGGACAAAGTCAAATTGCTAAAAAGTTCAACCTTATTTAACCATGTGAATAATTTCTAGAAAGAGTAAGTTAGGGCACAGGAATTTTTCTCAAGTGGTTATTTTTTGAAAATTGAGTAGGATATGACCAATAGTATGGAAACAAAAAATAATGTGAGAAATAATAAATAGTGTGATTTAGTGTGATTTGAAGTAAATATTGCAGAATCACAGCCTCACACTCTGCCAGATGCTTTGAATATAAAAAAATTAGAAAAACTTTCATTTCATATAATATTTGTGTAAATATACACCTAATTGAAAAAACGAGTCGGGTTCGAGAAGGTCATATCATTGAAGCTAAGACYGAAAAGGATTTTGGGGAAATGTGTATGACCTTTTTTTGAACCGGAAAACCTTTTTTCAATTAGGTATATATATTGTATTGATAATGCTGGTTTACTGAAGGTAAAAGTATATTTGTATTTTCTGCAGGCATCTCCATTGTCTACAGCATGCAGACGATACATGAGTAATGGAACGGTAAATATATTTTCATTAAACAAAATTATTTTACAGTACATCATCGTGTAGATATCTAATCTATAACGAATTAAAAACAACATGTAACTTCAATCTGGTGATGTCATGCGTAATTTTTTTTTGATAAATACTATTGATACTTTGGTCACCCTACCCCTTTCCACTGCTGTTTTTTTTGAATTGTAACTGAAAAGCCTCATCCCTTTTTAAAACGTTTGTGTTTACAGCCAGCAACCACCAAGCTTTTTATAAATGGAAAATTCATGGAGTCCAAAACTTCTAAATGGATTGATCTTCACAATCCAGTAAGTTTTAAAATGATGATAGTGATGGTGAGAAGGAGGAAGAGGAGGAGGARGAGGAAGAGGAAGAGAAAGAGAAGGATGGTGAAAGAGGAGGAATAGGTGAAGGATCAGGAATATTGATGATAATAATGCTATAATGATGAGGACGATGATGATCACAATGATGATACATGATACTACGTGATGATGTTGTTGATATGTAGAACAAAGGTGATGGTGATGATACTTAGTATATAGATAGTATGGTTGTGTGTGCAATATCCTGAATGAATTCACTAGTTATTGTTATACAATAAAAGGTCTGTAAAATCTATACATGGTATACCATGGTGTACCTAGTATATAAATAGTGTGGTTGTGTGTGTGATATCCTGAATGAATCCACTACTAAGGTGTTATACAATAAAAGGTCTGTAAAATCTCTACATGGTACATAATGGGAACTTCAAGCGGCACTGCAAATCACTGATCAGGAATCCCACTTAAATTGCTTCACTTTTACAGGCCACAAATGAAGTAATCACACGGGTACCAGAGTCCACACCAGAAGAGATGCAAGCTGCCGTAGACGCAGCCGCAGCAGCCTTCCCTGCCTGGTCTGAAACATCGATATTGGCACGACAACAAATCATGTTTAAGTTTCAACAACTCATCAAGGAAAACATGGTAAATTCTGATTCTGCTCTGCGTTCATATATTCACAAAAGCTTTCTTATTGATATGGCAGCTAAATTCTTAAATATTATGGAATGCCAATGAAATATTTATAAAGTGGCGAGTAGCGAAATTACATTTTTACAGTTTGGTGTTCTACATATAGCATAGATGTTTCACAGCATAGAGCAGTTTTTGTATGACTGTGAAAACCTCATGGCACAAACACGGTCATGACACGGCAAGGCATACRCCAGACCAATCACCTTGCGCGAGAATTTATTCTCCATCCAATCAAATACACAACATAGCATGGTGCGGACAAGGTCATGGCACTGTCAGACCAATCACATTGTGTGAGAAAAAAATCAGCCAATTAAAATTCTAAAAACTCACGGTTAAGGCACTGCACACTTACAACACTGAGATTTTCAGCTCTAGTGCTGTCTATAATTTTTTTGTTTTATTTTGAATATGAGATGCCTTGGCTTTAGTCAATCACATTTTCAATGATCTGATCATGAGTTAGTAGCTTTTTGATTGACAGAAGCCAAAAACCCAGATGTCTTGGGCTGTGTTGTTTGGACCGTATATATTGTAATTGTAGTATATGAAATAAATTAAACGACAATTATTATACTATCTTCGTTTAACAGAAAGAACTTGCCCACAACATAACACTAGAGCAAGGAAAGACACTTCCAGATGCAGAGGGAGATATCTTGAGAGGATTACGTAAGAAATATTCTATTTTCAAATTTCATTTATGTCTCTTTTTTCCTGAAATATTATCATAACCCAGGTATGGATTTGACCTCTTTTTTGCTGGAGACTAGTGTAGTTTAACAGAGAGTGGTTTYACAGCAGCCTTGTTATTGGGAAAATCAGCAATGCCTTGGACTAGAACAGTACTAAATTCTGCTATTTTAAGCATGGATTTTAATAACTTTTTACAAAAGTCCTATCAAGTTTAATTTTCACATGTGAAGAGTACTCGCCAGAATAACATTTTTATTCTTTTTAAGTTGTTATTATTAGAATATTATTACACAACAATATTACAATTTTTGGCGGAAAAACAAATCATGTTACCAATTTAGTGGAAATTAAATTGAAAATGAGGAATATGGAAAAAAAATTTATGGACAACTTTAATAAGCAAATTTGAAACTCGTTAAAATATGTTCAAAACCAAAGAGATAATCGTCAGTCATTTTTAGTCAGAAAATTAAAACATTCCTGCTATTTTTGCTTAAAAAATGTTTTTTTTTTATAATTATATCCTTACATGTAAGAGCGCAAACCACAATTTTGTCTAGTATATCTAATTATGATTTTCACCTTGGGGAAGTTAAACCTATTGTCACACAAAAACATTGCWTTGTTCCTGCCTTTCAACACCATCACTACCATGATACCACTCAAAATCTGAGCATTTATATCCACCCTTGACATTGCTTTGGTGCTTTCGTTTGCAGAGGTCGTTGAGCACACATGCTCCATCACCTCTCTWCAAATGGGGGAGACAATGCAGTCTGTCACCAAAGACATGGATACTTATTCCTACAGAGTACCTTTGGGTGTTTGTGCTGGAATCACTCCGTAAGTATAATAATAATAATGATAATAATGACAATGACAACAACAAAAATAATATTTTTTWAAAAATAATTTTAGGTTCAACTTTCCTGCTATGATTCCACTTTGGGTAAGTAAAATATTGAACGTCATTATCCAAAAACAAAATACCTTGTACTATTTGCATATATTATATTACATAAATGGGCAATTAGGTGGGTGGTATATGCAGTCAGTTCCCAGCTGCCATGTGTTTGATATTTATGATTGACAGTTAAAGCTATTGCTAGCTTAGATGTTTAGATTTGTTTCTGCCGAAAACACGTTATAAATTATGTGATAAAAGATCAGGGATAGCATTGTTGAAAATCTATCTTGGCTTTAACTGTGGCTTTGGTAGAAATCCCAATGCAAAAGAAACCAGAAACCAAAAATAAAAGTTGCTTTTTRTCCTATCTGTAATGCAACATATTTCTTATTTCTGTACAGCTGACATTCAGATACTTATGTGCATGCCGAAGGTCTAACCATTTATGGATATTTTAAGAGCAAAGGCAGCACCTTCTACTTAGATATTCATAAGTCCATGAGTGTTTGGTCCGGCTGAGGCTTGAATCCATGATCTCCCACACAACAGACTAGTGCCAAATGAAGCTAACTGGCTAGTTGCTAATCTATACTCATTATGAACCCTAGATGTTTCCAGTAGCTGTTGTTTGTGGTAACACATACGTCATTAAACCCTCGGAAAGAGATCCTGGTGCATGTATGATGCTGTTGAAGATGGCRCAGGATGCTGGAATGCCTGATGGTGTAGTGAATGTTATCCATGGAGCAAGAGACGGTAAGTGAATGCAAACACCACAAATAACAACTTCTTCTAATGCATTTGCTACTCCTGGGTGGATGGCATAGTGCCTAACAGGTTTTGGAACTCAATTGTTAAGGCAGCCGATAGATCAAATTAGGATTTAGGAGTTGATTTTTGCGGCGTGAGGAAAAATGAAGGACTTGGAGAAAAACCATTGAAGCACCTGAGGGTTAGGGCTCTACAACTCTACTCAAATACAACACCAAGCCCAACAGGACTTGAACCCAGGTCGCATTGGTGAGAGGCAACACATTAGTAGGGCATGCCATCTGCTTTCCACACCCATTATTTCCCTAAAATTTTGCAGACTTAGCAAAACAAAATTAGCAACATTATCTTTTTTAAATTTGTGGGTGGCCTCCACTCAACACCTAGGGTAGTGACTTGCTAYGGCAGCTGGAATTTTAACACATTAATTATTAGTATATACTCCTGGACTATGTATCTATAAATTTGAATAATTTCTACAGTGACACCAACTAACCTTTTCATTATCTATTTTAGCTGTCACTTTCATCTGCGACGACCCAACTATTAAGGCTATCTCATTTGTAGGGTCCGACCAAGCTGTGAGTAATTTCAATTTATAGTTCACCATTGACTGCTTTTAGTGCTACACACTGATGGATACAACAGTCATGACTGAGAAATTGGGCAAATTCCTGTCAATAAAAGARTGGTAGAGTATGTAATGGTACTGAACGATTTATTTGATTGATGGTAGTTGGCCGATAATCCTGAGAGTGTAGCAATATGAAAACAGTGTTATTTTCCATAGTTTCTTTTAAAATAGAAAATATGCTTTGATTCACTGTTGTCAGCATATTTTCTGAGGMAGCTCATATAAACAAGGGAGAGCTAGTTAACAAAGTATTTTAGCGATTGATATAATGTCTTTCTTTTACAGGGAAGGTACATCTATGAACGGGGCAGCAAGGGTGGCAAGCGAGTACAGAGTAACATGGTAGGTGACACWCTCACATTACTTATACCCTTATATTGTTAGTTATGCTGTGTACTTAGYTTTATGACCAACCAAATACTGTATCAGTAAATGAGTGATTGAGTGTTGGATGTCAAGTATTGGCCTTGGGTTGTTCAACAGCCTCTCGATTGTTGAAGAAGAACTCAGCTTGTCATGAAGTATAAGATTATCAAAATATATAATGTGTAATAAATTATACACCAGCTATATTTAAACTAAGTTTAATTCTTCATTGATTATTGATCTTGTTGTACGTGCAGCTCAATAAATGTGTCTAGTTACTCACCCTTAAAGGGCAACCCTTATGCACTTTCGTGACCTCCTGTCACTTCCTGCTACCCTTGCCCTTGCACCCAATTTTGATGCCATCTCAGCCTCAGTTTAGCACTGAGCCATCCCCACCTTCACCAATGGATTTTGAATACATCCCTTTAGACCATCCCCACCCCTTGAAAATACAAGTACTCTTAATGGGATTGATATATAATTTTTTACTGAAGCTTGTCATCTAATCCAAGATTCTGTCTGTTTTATAGGGAGCCAAAAACCATGGTGTCATCATGCCTGATGCCAGTAAAGAAAGCACCATAAATCAAGTATGTCCAGCTTTTTTAGTTTATAAAAAAGTTGTTTGCAAAACAGGACGATTCTTTACCCAAATAATTGCAAACTCGTCCATGGTTATGGTTTCTATTGCATTTTCCTCATGAGTTATTATAGTTATTATAGTTATATATATTATAGTTATTATATTATTGTTATKAGTTATTAGTAGTAGTACGTGGTTTCAATTCCCACCAAAGGCATTTGATATTTTTCTCTTATTCTCTCATGAGTTATTAATGAGTTTGATAAGCGTTTATATATATTTCCCCAGTTAATAGGAGCTGCATTTGGAGCTGCAGGTCAGAGGTGTATGGCCTTGTCTACTGCTATCTTCGTAGGAGAGACTAAAGAATGGATCCCAGAGATTGTCGAGAAGGCCAGGAAACTTCAAGTCAATGCAGGTATTATTTATTTTAATACATAATATTATCAATGAAATATCTATCTTTCTCACTACTAAAAAGCGATATCTTTAGATGTGAAGATGTCACCATTGGTAAAAATTCTTAGGAATCGCATTAAATATGATAGGAAAAATCTACTAAAATGATATTTCATTGATAACTATATATTAAACAGAATATCTTACTCATTCGCTGAGCTCAATCGTAAGATATCACCTCAACACTCCTCTATATCAGTCATTCCTATACCAACATCCAACTAAAGTTTGAAAAGTAGGATGACAAGATGCCAGGAATCACACATCAATGGTTTTAATCTAACCTTGAAGAAATAGAAAACACRCGCGCATGCTGTGTGTGCGGGTGCATGCTGTGTGCGCAGGGGTTAGCAGAACACGAGAGAAGTGTTAGGAGAAGCACGACTCATGGCGGAGTGCTTCTCGACACTTCTCGAGTGTTCAGTCAATCCCCAAGTGCTTTATGACTCCACACAGCACAGCAAGCAAGGTTATTTCTTTTATAAAATACAAATTACCGAAATGACAAAACTGGAAAAGCACGAGCGTGCTGTGTGCTCTCATAAAGCACACACTCTCAACCAATCAGAGCGTGACATTTATAACAGTTATTTTATAATACTGATTAGCAAATAGGTAATTCTGAAGGGGATAACACCTTAACTGAAATGCAAAGGTATCTGAGGTCTTTCGTCCTACCACAAACTGGAAATGTTTCAACTAGAGCAAAATTTTCAAATGAATGAACAAATGCATGAAAAAATTCATAGCTTATCGTAAATTAATGTAATTTATCTGGTGTTATTTTTATTTTTCTAATAAGGTGATCAACCAGGAGCAGACTTAGGACCAGTTATTTCACCACAATCCAAAAAGAGAATCTGTGACTTGGTTCAGTCTGGTGTGGACCAAGGAGCTAAGGTATGATTGAAATACCTTATCTCAGTCATCCATCCATCCATTCACTTCATCCATCCATCCATCCATTCATCCCATTCATCCATCCATTCCATACCCATCCATCCATTCCATCCCATCCATCCATCCCATCCATCCATCCATTCATCCCATTCATCCATTCATCCATTCATTCCATACTCATCTATTCATCCATCTATCCATCCATCCATCCCATCCCATCCATTTATCCGTCCGTCCWTCCRTCCSWYC